AAATTATTACATATATTTTAATGTATATAATATATAATAAGCTGTCAGAGTTTAAAGAGAATTTTATTACATTTCGCAACTATTATCCAAATATTTACATAATTATTTAAAATCCAATTAAATTTCTCTCGAAATAAAAAAATTTCCCAATATAATGTTTTTATTTAATTCGATTATAATTATCTGCTTCATCAATTTCTATTTGTTGAATAATTATATCATGTATAAATATGAATGACATTCAAATATAAGCAATGCGTTAATATTTGCAAAATCATGTCTGACATTTTCAACTCTAGCACAATTTCCGACGTTTTACAGGTTCCATTCAAATCGCCATCCTAACTCATATGGAAGCTTTTGCCAAGGCTTTGGCAACGGCATAGTCATGTGCGAGATTTGCATGAGAAACGTCTAGATATTCTCTTCGCAGCTGCAACCGACGTTACACCATTTTGGGAGACGCGGTATAGGCGGGAATAAACGCGCGGCAATAGTGACAGAAAATTCAAAGTGAATTAAAAAAAGGAGACAAAACTGGCTAGAAGAAATATTTTATTCAGTTCCATCATCAGGAATTCTCATTAAAAACATTACGTTCACGGGTAAGTAAACTAATATCCTTTGGGAATTTTTAATAAATATAAATCTGTTATTTATGCATATCTTTATTTCAAAAACAATTCAACCAATTTTCTTACCCTTATAACGAATCTGAAAATATAACTAATGTACATTATATAATGTAATTGACTTGAATCCATTTCATCTTAGAAGTATGAATTTACTGGTTAACAATTTATTATCTTAAAAATATAAATTCATAAATACAAGATCTATAACGTTTGACCCACTTAAATAGTTTTTCATTATTAAATTTTATTATATAAGATAATAATATTTTCGGCTACATCGTGTTTACATAATCAATATGAGATCAATAAAGGTCGGTAATGCATATCGATACAACCAAAAAATGAAAATGTTCTCTGATAATATTGAATTGATCGAAATAATCGTTCATACCGCTTACGTCTTTCGAAATTTAATAGTGCATCCATGTTTTTCAGGCGATATCTAACTACTCAGCTGTTATGGAATAAAATGTATGATTAGTATGCCATATTTTCTGTGTATGTTCACACCTGAATTTAGTAGTGATGATTTTCGTGTTAAAGAGAAAAATACTTTTATTATTTTATTTGAACTGCAAGCCACAAGTTTATAGTATACTTTACTTATAGTAAATAGTAATATATATATATATATATTTCAATGATAATTATTAGTCCATTGTCAAAGTCCATGATTTAACGAATACGTATATAGATTTGTAACTTATTTTCGTCTTCTTGTGACCGTGAGTCGAAAAATCACGTCACACCATATACATTTATTAGACATTATAGTATTGATATCAACATTAAGGCCGTACATTGAAAGTAAAGCTCATTGTTTCTTAGAACCCTTGTTTTATAAATATTAAATTCAAGAAATTTCCAAGAAAAAATTAATTTCGTATATCCAACCATTGTACAATGTAGCCCACAATAAGTTACAAAATCTTCAATGAAGATAAATATATAATAAAGTATTTCTACTGCGTTATCAGGATCCTCAAACGTACAAAACGGCGTTTAAGACATTCGCGTCATTTCAGTACGATCTTTGATGCTCCTGAATAAATACAGATAGTCTTGGTGAAGATGAAAGATGCAAAACAGCGCTTCGAAAAGGGAAGACGTTTACGAAGATGACAGGCGATAACCATAAAAGCACCGTTCCCGCTAGCTCGTAGTTTGCGACGCGCTATAAAAATACGTCACGTGTCGTTTGTTGACGGGAGGAGGCAGCAGGGGAGAATAAAAAAAAAATAAAAGCCACGAGCTATCACAAAAATCCAGTCGCTATTCGAAATCCGTACTTTACGACGTTTCGCTTCATTCGTATGCGCCAAGAAGTCTCACACCCAAGTGATACAACGGCAGTTAATTCAAAATTACCGATAATCCACTATCCGTAAAATAATTTCACGTCATGAAGATAACACCAACTCGTAAAAACTGTCATCGTCCACTTTTTCACTAGGTACTAGGTACTAGCATTCTGAAATTGTTATTCGCATATACATATACATATGCGTGTACCTATCACTCACCCTGCTACGCCTTACGAGAGAAGAACTAGCCAGTAATTTGCAACATTTGGATGGAATGTGTTTTGTTGGAATGTTTTTATCACATAAAAGCGAAAAATGTCTGGCACAACGTGAGATAGCATATTCCCGGGTAGTTTATATGGATCGTCAAGCAACCCTAGGGCTGTGCCCTACTATTGCAGGACTGCCATATGATCCTATACCCACGTATACACGTTTACGCACTACCCTTCAAAGTATATATGTATATTGTCTCCCATGACAGTGAACACACGGAGCTGTCTCTGATAGGCTAAGGAGCATAAGAGAAACAGAGGATGATAAGGTCCTCCCTATCCCGAAGGAGACTATTTTCCATAGTTATGAAGGACGAGCGAACACAACTATGTGAAATCTACCGCAGAGGCTCTAAGGTCCGGATGACTTTAGCTTACCTCTATTTGCAGATGTTAGATATATCTCCGTATCTTGTGAAAAGTCATTTGCGAGAATGGTTATCGTCGTGTCCTTTTATCTCTTCATAGGACTTTACTGAAAACATAGTTTGGGTTTGTTAACGGTTTTCATGATATACACGCTAAGTAGCTGATATTCTTAAGGAATGAGACATTTTTGGCTCCCTGGAGAAATATACTATGTCAAAAGTTCATCCTTATTAAAAAGTAAGCTCGTTTATATTCGCTCTTGATCAAAAAAACTGTAAACACTTAAATAAGCCAATAGAAAAAAAATACTCGTGAATCACTTTGCAAACGCTGTTCACGTCCGAGGAAAAAACTCGGAGTTTGAAAAAAAATTTTCAACTTGATTAGACTCAACATAAGAGCTGATAGCCGAGACCCATAATTTTATTTTTATTGGCTTGATTCCACTCAAAGGAGGGTTACACGACCAAGGTAACATCCATTTTATTTCTTTTTGAGAAGCAACGTGAAAATTCACTTGGTATGAATTTTTTTTTATTCAAATTTTATGCAGAGTTGTGTCACAGAATTTTCATAACGAACGTACGTGTAAAAAAATAATTGACTCAGTCTTTCACTCAAATTTACCAAATCAGAAACTTTCTGCTACTGGGTAATGATTGTAACATAGAATGGTTCTTTTCTTACTTTTCTGTTTTCTTGATTTAGCACAAGCTATTTTTTGATTGGTGCTAAACCGTTGGAACAAATTCTCGTTACGATATAATGGCGACTGAGCACAAAGCTACTCAGCATTACTGATTGTGACTGTACGTGAGAAAATGAATTTCTGTCGTGAGACTAACTTCCTAGTGCGAACTTTACCTCTACGATTGCCAACGTTATTCATGGAACAGATACTGAAATAGGAAATGCAATATTCTACACTATGTGAATTTTGTCACGTTCGCCTTATCAAGTCACTTCACGACGAATACTTAACAGAAGTACGTAAAAGTAAAATGATAGTAATTAAGAGATAGATATATGAAATCCTTTCATATAAATTAGAATGGATGGTGAGTCACTGTTACACAAACAAATGAATTAGCAAGATACCAACATCATGAGATTCTTCATTTACTGTTAACCAATCGACAAGCTATTCACGCAGCTTATCAAACAGATAATACATACCATATCCAATAACAGAAATCACCTACTTATGAACTGATTATTATCCGTTGCTTTATACCGGAATTTTGGAATCCGACAATGCCAACGTTCCAACAGCTTGATTCAGATCTCGTTGAAATGCTGCATTCCCTACATACGGGACCAGTGCAAATCCTATTTCACCATCTGTATCCTGAGATTAACCGCTAGAATTCACAGGGAATTCCATATGTATCAGTAGAGGATATAGTAAATATTTCTTACAGTTGATTAAATTTAAGGTGCCTCTTTGATCTCTGACGTCACTAACTGAACGCCCCCGTCGTGTAAAAGGTTTCTTACATAACAACGGATACGGCTTCTGAAGCTTGTATGTATTTTTGGGATTTTGATGTAAGCCATAAAACTTCTTCTGGATCAGTGGCGGCTCGCATATAAGCACTGTGGAATTGCAGCACCCCCTAGATCAAGCTTGAACTGTAACAATTTAGGTTAAAGTAAGTAAAAAATGTTTGACTTTGTTCTTTTAGGATTATATCAAGTTTCTGAATAAATTTTCTTTTTATACACGTTTGCTTCTTTTTACACTATTTTAAAACAAAGACTAAACATTTTCTGGAGCAGCACCCCCACTAATTTTAGCTACGAGCCGCCACTGTTCTGGATTGTTCAATCGTTGAGACTTGAAAGACCAAAATTCAAGGATTGGAAATAACATTTGAATTATCGTTGAATTCAGAGTCGTATTGCTATTATATGACTACAAGTAATCTAAATCAGTCAAGGCAACCAGCAAAATGTTATATCATGCGGACTAAGCTGTTCTCATTCCTTACCTACTTGCTCCGATGACTTTAGCTTGTGTTCAGTTTGCTACAGCTTCAAAGCTAGAAAATGGAAGGATGTTGAAAGGATTTGGGATGGAAATCCATGAATGAGAAAGAGATCCTTTTGCAAAAGAATATTTACTGCCACCATTCTACCTTAATCCCATAGATTACTTTCATATTCCTAACAGCATTGAGCGAATTACATGTTTCATGGCTTTTCCAATTTTTCTCATAGAATACAATAAGCACATCAAATTAGTGTAGGATGATCCTTGATTATCAGCTCTAAGGAGCCTTTCTATTTCAAGTGTATGGGAATGTAAATAATAATTTTTTTTAATAGTTTAATGTGTCTTTAAGAAAGACTAAGTGATGCTAGTTGTAATTGATCTGAATTTTTAGTATAAAAATACTGGGTTAAGAACAGCTCATTGAACAATTCTATAGCCCAAACATTTCACTTCTAGACTCATTAACTAGGTTTACGTTATCAACAATATTTCTTTATTAATTAAACTTTGCATAGTCACTGGAGCGACCTTCGAGGTCTGTATCTCAGTACAGTTGTTTTCTTTAAAGGATTAGGGATACAAATAACATTCCAACATCATTACGTTTTCCAATTTCTTCATTATTAATCGTATACCATCATTGCACTAATTGTACCTTAATTAGACACATTCTCTTTCGGTAGTTTAATTAAGCATCTAGCCAACGTTATGCGTTAGTATTTTGGGATAATGAGGAAGGTCAAATTCTATATAAACGCTATAAATTCAATGGACTATCGCCATGTTGGCAATTGTGGGAATTCTCTGGTCGCGAACTGTAACACCAGGATGAAACTCCAGAGTGCACTCAACTCTATCGATACTACGTTAATGCTCGATGGCCAAGTAAGTGGAAGGGATTAAAAGGAAAATAAAAAAAAATGACGAAAAAGTAATAAAATACTCGGCTTCCAATTCTGCGAATGTTGAGTCTAAGTACCTTAATGCACAGGCTGAATGAGAATAGCGCCTACTTTTAGCTGGTAAAGTTACGGTAATGATCAAAATTTTATAATGGAAATTCAGGGCATATAACTCGCGTCAGTGGATTATCAAATAAATTGAACTATTGCGCGTGGGATTTTCGTACGATATTCCCGATGGAAAATATAATTTCTCCCATCAGAATTTGAACTTGCACAATGGGCAAAAGTACTCGAAATCGATATGCCAATTTGATTTCTCTGATGAATATTGAAAATGGAATGCGTATGGTATTACTTCAAATTTATTGCTTCAGTTAATTCTCAGAATTTGAAATTAATTAGTTTGACGAAATACGCACGCTCATCGAATGTCAGCAATCATTGCTTTGATTTTTTCCGAAAAATCATGCAGCACAGTTTCCATATTTGGTCCCAATTGTTTGGCGCACCATTTCGCTGATGATGGAGATATCAGAAACACGGCAACGCTGCCAATTAGCAGTGGCGTAAACAGAAAGTGCAAAATCTGTTGAGGGAAATAATAATGCTATTAATATTTCATATTATGTTTACTGTATAAACTCTGAGAACAAATTTTGATTTCAACTCACACGAGAGATACATGAAATGACTATCCATCCTAAAAGGATCGTCCCAATTGTGTTAATATATGGTGTGTATTCAGGACGAAGGATACATTGTAGACATGGGACTTTTGCGCTCAAATCAGCCAAAATAACTTCCATCTATCATATTCATAGGATAAAATCAATATCTAGAATTTACTGTTATCCTCCGATTCAACATGTTTTACTTGAATGATATTTCATGCATTTAACATCATGGTACATACAAGACGTATATAATCGAATAAAAGCAAAGGAATAGGAATATGTAGTATAACTGGTTCTAAGGTATATTTTACAACGAATATAAACGCTATTAAAATTTAACTTACATCCATTTCTCAGTAAAGCTTGCGGGGTCTTGATTATGCCGGAGACTTTAATTTCTTGACTGTTCGTAAAAATTGGTTTGTTAAAATTCAAAAATTTTGATTACGTCGGTAATTCAATACCTAGAGGGTTCTTCATATTTCGTGAAGATTGCTGACAATCGAACAAAATCGTCTGCTTATTTCACTTTTGCCTACTTTCATTCCAGTCTCGAATACCCAGTGACCAATACCATGTTTTATTCGCGTGAAATTGAAACATTTTTGGGACTCTCCCAATATCGGATAAAATAGTTTCATTCGCATTCCCTGTTCACTTACTGACATATATATTTAACATATATGTATACATCTATGGATATTCACTTGTCGCATATATGTAATGGAAAAAGTAATGGAAAAATCTAGTTCATGTATAAAATAAAAATATTATTGATAATTCGAGATCAATTAAAAAGATATATACATACAATACCAATATCGACATTTACTAATCAAATTACTCTACTGTCAAGTTCCATTAGTTAGATTTAATCGCCGATAATCTTTACATCGTTCTATACTTGGTCCATAGTATTGCGTTGTACTGATTTACATGATAATAAACCTTTAGACTATATAAGGCTCTAGAGTTAAGGTTGCTAAAATATATTACTAGCTTATCCCCCTGAGAACAGGATACATGTGATTTTATCTCTCATATATTCCCATATGAAAACACCATGGAATATTGTGTGCAAAAAGTGGTTATCCACCCTATCATTTTTATAAATATTTTCCACACAAATCTGTACGTTCACAACACCCTGAAGATTCGCAAAAAAATGAAGTTTTATCAAATAAAAAAATCTACTTATATTGTACACACACAGAGAAGTTTAAATTTTTACTCTACAAATAACAGCAAATTGTTATATAAATTATAAGAGTTCTAGTAGAATTGTAAATCAGTAGGACTTACAAACGGTAAATCTTAATAGAATAATCATTAAATGGTGAAATTAAAATTTGAAAAATTTGTACATATTGTGAAAAACTATAATCTAGTCGCGACATGAATTGTACTTTGAGGGGCCTTCTCCTTATGAAACAAAACATAAATAAGTCCTCTCAAAGTGGAAATTGATGTCGCAGCCTCACTATACATTCGGATCACAACCAAGACCTTGCATCACAGTAACAAATATACATTTATTCTCAAATGACAAATAAGTCTTAAAAAAGTAAATTTATCTTACAATTGGTGAATACGATAAATTACAATAGGTATTGACACAGTCGCGATAGTTATGTTGATTGATTAATATCAGCATTATTGGTTTGGTCGTCGGGTGTCTCTCCTGGGATTATTCCATTGTTATCATTGGTATAATCATCCTCGGACCAAATTCTAGCTCTTGTCGATGGCTCGATGCATATATCCATATTTTGATAAGACGGGGATTCAAGCTCTGGATGAATTGTTGTCCGGAAAACATATGACGTCATCCTCGAGATAACGTTGATTAGACGCTGCCCCCAACCAGGAATAAATAATTAACTGGCCTTGGGTTTTTCGGCCCTGTCACGTTAATAATCTTTTCTTTCGAGCGTAATACAACGAAGCTTTGATAAAATAAATTATAGGATCAATCGTCATTGATAAATCTCAATGTTATTAATCGTAATTGAAATTTTTGGAATTTTTTAATATCGTCAATGCAAATTAATTAATGACAATAAATTGAATTTAAAATTTGATCTACTATTCCTTGCGTAAGAAACGAAGGACATTCGTGGAAATTGATATCTTTCATTTATCCGTTTACAGGGTATGATTACGAAATTTCAAATCTTAGCGTGGTTTCCCTTGTTAACTGTTCCTGTTAAACCAATATCATTAAAGTTAATGTCATTGAATTGTGTTATCGAGTGTAAACTTTTACCATGCTCCCATCTTATCTCGGCCAACGCGAGAAATTCAATTTAATCGCGTTCTTAAAAAACGCGTAGGAAGACCTTGAGATAATTTTATTTACATTGTAAATATAATTCCACAGACACTTAAGAATATCTTAAATTCATCCCCAATCGAGTTTACGCAGAATTTTGTCAATTTCATCGAATTACTTGCAGCATTCTTTAAGGAATAGTATTATTTCTTTCTTTTTCGTACGAAAACACGTCGGCACAATTGTATGCGTAGTGGGTACTCACGAAGATTAATTTATCCAGTTGATGCAGCAAGAAAAGAACAGCCGGATGTACGAGCGTAATAATGAATTCCACTAGACGCGACAGAGCAACAAATCCCAAAAGTAACCCTGCTAGCGCGAACAATGCCAAAAGCTCAAACACTCCAATAAGAATCTGGAACAAATCAGAATTTGAAGAGTCCAAAAAAAAGGTTATACGAATATGATCCAGGGATACGGGTAAATATATTCTAATTAAAAAATTCAATTTTAAAATCGGATATGCGCATTGTGATAAGAGCCTTACTAATATGGAAAAATGCATAGAGTCAACCTTACGGATAAAATAGTCATTTTATCAAAAGGTCCGTAAACCTCCTTCAAGATCTTCACCCTTCACGACGTAACCTTAAACCTTGATTTTGTGTAACCCGGTTGCCGTCGCTTCTCACATTGAATTTAAAACATTCATCGTAACTGCGAAAGACCGTTTGCCGTCAGTTTGTGCCGTTAACGAGAAATTTTCGCGCTATTCGAATTTTGATTAACGGAAACTTGGCACTTGATGGTTTACTGTGTAGTTGTTGACACGGGATTGGTAGATCGAAGGGAAACTGGTAAAGATTGAAAAAGATCAGGAAGCATAAAATAAGATTGTCTTTTTTTTCTCCCATCGATAAACATTATAATGGACAGGGTTATTCAATAAAAGGGATCACCTGAAAGTGGTTCTACTATAGAAATGAAATTGACAGATTAACTTCAGATGGTGCGTTTTTTGTGAATAATAATAAAAGAAGATTGCCCTTTTTTTCTTATTGACAAAACATGCTCTCCGGCAGGATAGGAAAATCTTCTGAAGTAATAAAATAATGAATCTTGACATTTTTCATCAAGCAAAATTACTTTCAATCTTTTTTGGGTAAACGGTGTATGGTTAAATTGAGTGAGAAATTGAAATGCCAAATACCTACGTGAAAATATTACTCTAAGAATTACATCAGGGCGTAGAAAGCATGACTGGGGACGATGGCAACGCGCACCCTAGATATATCCACCCTTGTACATACATATATTAGCAAAGTAACCCGCCGAGACTCACTGTTACACAAGAGACAAAAATTTCCGTTAAAAGCAGCTGTTACCCAGTTTTTTTTTCGTGAAAGAGGTCGTGCGAGTGTCACACATTGCTGAATTACTCGTGCAGTTATGAGAAAAAGAAATTAGGGAACGAAGACAAAAAATTGTTGTAAAAAAAGCGATTCGTAAAATTACTTTGTTGGCAAGTACGCTGAAATATTATTGTTATTCTAGTCCAAGAATCCCTCTTACTCTCTTAATACGTTCACGCGACATTTTACACCGGTAGCTATGCAGACGTTTTATTTAAAGGGTCTTTTCTTTTTATGGCGCAAATAAGACGTAGGGTAATTATAATTTTAAATTGCATTGGAACTTCTAATATCGACTACTAAAGAGAATTGGTGTCAGATGCATCTGAACTCAATTCAGTTGTGCGAAAGGCTGCGCATCAAAGGATTCCTTTTCCGCTTGAACACTGATCGAATGTCTGTTCGATCGATAGCTCAACAAAATCATGGCAGAATACATGTACGCGTGACAGGTTTGTCCTCTCATGAAATATATAACGGAATCGAAGTCCAATCCCTTAGGGTTTGAACTGACTTGTTACAAAGTCAGTATATATGGTTTTGATATGGAAGTAGCATTTTTGCATTTTTTAAATGAAATATATTTATGAAATGTATGTTGATAATAATCTCTCAAAAACATAACTCATGTCAATGTAAGACATTTGAGTTCTGACGAAAAGGATGAACAGAAAGAATTATATGTGTACGTATGAACCTGATAGTTTATTCTCCTTGAAGAAATAAAGGTACCAAAGAATATAAAAGAAGAAAAAAAATGTATGCACAGGGTGATTCAGATAAAAATAATCTTCATCGATACCACGCCGAAGTACTATGGATACTTTTAAATGAGCGACTTGGTAAATGGAGCTCTGGATATGTAACTTAACTGTTAACCCTTTGACTGACAAAAAATAGGTGCCTAACTGACCAAAAATGGCAATTGAAGAAACTCGGTACTAGGAAGTTTTTTGGGTCGCTCAATATAAATTTGGGGTTAAAATTACAAAATTCAAAATGGTTAATCTAAATTGTAATAAAATTTAGAGTAAGGCCAATTTTTGTGAGAGTTACTCATGTGTTCTTGCTTACCTCCGGCATTGGCTAGTGAATTCATATTTACATACCTAAACTGTGCCACGGGGAGGCTCTGACGGTAGGGTTTTACACTCCGTTTTTTATCATTTTTTTTATTGGCAAACAAACCGACTTGACCAAGAAGTCGAGAAGTTGAATTTTAAGTCTATACAAATTTGAATAATAATTACATGGAGTTTACCATATTGAAACAGGTATTTTGACATTTTTATAGCAAATTCGTATTCAACGAGCCAAAAAAACCTAGTACCGAGTTTCATTAAAATCTTAGTAACTGGTAAAAAACTGAACGATGTGCGTTTTGGCAAATCTGTTTTTTGCGCACTATTGTTTCAATGCCAGTGAACGGGTTAAAAGTCAGGCTTTCCTGCTTTAAACAAAAAAAATACAATCATCGACGAGTTTTACAATTTATATGTTTTTACACCGCATGCAATCTATTTTTTAAGTTTATAATAAATTGTGTTACAGACTTGCTTACATAAAGTGTGTCAATCAATATTCGGATTTGTAAACAATTTGTTACAAGCTGTGGCCTAGACAGATAATTACACCTCGCAAAGCCAAGTTGGTCGAATCCAATTTTTACAAATTTTTCAATTTTAGTACCGAGCATGCAAATAGTTAGAAATGTTTAATATATAAACAAAATTGAGAAATTTACAAAAAGTGAAGCTGATCGTTTTGGTTTTTACGGGGCTCAATTATGGTATTGATAGGAAAAACTTGAATCATGCTGAAGTTCATGAAAAATCAGAATACGCAATATAATCATTGAAAATATTTATAGCTGTAACGAATTTTCTTGCAGAAAATAATCAGGTTTATATTTCTGTTAATTTTATCAACAAAATATTTGTATTTCACGCACTTTAATTCCGACGTGTCAATACCGACAGATAATTCAGTTTCAATAAATGGAAAGAAAAGCTTCATCGCCATCTATGCGTACATTCAAGGAACTAACTTCGACATATGAATGCATATGGTCAAAAAAATAGTGACCGTAGAAAAATAATGTAGTATTTTTTCAATAATACGCTTACAAAAATTTTCAGAATTTTTTAAGCATTATTGTAAAAAAAAGTCGGTACTAAAGGAATCTACTTATATGATTCGATACTGATGCTGATTCCTATGTTACCGTCAATTGCAAACGGTACTAAACAAAAGTTCATAAATTGCTGACATATAAAAAACCAGCAGGTATTCAATATATTATTTTATTATATTAACTACAGGGATCAGAATGCAAAGCAGTTACTTATACTACAGCTGACTCTCGCCCTGTGACATCTTGACAATAAAGACGCTATTATTATTATTATAATATTTAATTAAACAAACAATCCTCCGAGAGCAACAATTTTATTAACAACACAATTGATTCACGAATTAGAATTAATCTATTCGCTGAAACTCTGAAATTTTCACAAAAAATCGTACTCATTACATACACTAAAAGCTTTCAACATTTCCCTTTTGACATACAACTGTACAATCCCATTACGATAATTCAAAAGGATATAAAAATTTACAAATGCACATACGTGATTGTAATTGGATTAAAATCCAAATACCGGGAATAACAGAAACGAACACCGTGGACCCATCTTTCAAGCACTCAAAAATCACACTTGACTGCCAGGCATATTCTCAAATAGAGTCGAATACGTAAATGCAGTATATGAACACGCATACATTTATAATAAAATACATCCATGATAAGACGAATTTAATATGTAACAATTTATCAAAAAAATAGTAGAGCAATAGTACAGCAAGTATCACGTTAATTGACTAATAATGCTGTAGATACGCCCATATCACGTTTTAGGTACTCCGGTATTATTAACATTTTATAATCTATGAAAAAATAACACGAGTACGTACATATGTCTTCATAAAATATAGTAAAAACATGATAAGACGATAACAGACCAGAAACCTACAGAAGGCTCTTTTAAAACGCCTGTTCATTCCTATGATAAATCATACGATCCGGTAAAATTAATAAATTCCAATTTATAAAATAACTCGTGTCTCCCCACACTCGCATACACATTTGTCATTATTTCAATTTGATTCAATTATATATGACGTTACGAAAGTCTGCCGTTTGCGTTGTTAATACGTGGTCCCGAATACTACGTATTATTTATTTCTAAAGAACTAAATTCGACTTACGAGATATCCCAATACCATGTTTATGCTGACCTATCATTTCATATACTATGCTTTTGTGAAAGACAACATTTTTAATTATTTTGTTGACTCTTCCGTATTATGTATTAACGTTGCTTATTCACGATAACTTGATATGGCTTTGTATTCTATGATATTATCATTCTTGAATTACTTTCAAAACTTCACTGTCAGTATTACGAACATGGCTGTGTTTCTCTCACGTATGAAGACGTTTTTTACTCGAATTGCTATCAGAGAATTTTCGAACGTAATCTATATTCTGCTTATGAATTTCGTCTATTACGATTAAATGCACATAAATGAAGAGGAATTGCGTTGCTTTTCGGGGACGGAAAATAATTTTAGAAGATGATTTGTGGGGTTGCTTTACACAAAGTTCTTGATACGGTATATTATGCAACTATGGTTATCAACCGTGTCACCTGATACGTTTATCTAAGCTAATGATCTATAAGACAGCACGGATCGTAAAGTTAGGACTTTCTTTATATATTTTGCCTTTCTAATCACTTTCATTCTATCTCATTTGGCTGCTACTATAATCATACTGCAGCGTTATTCAAGAGCATTGCATCGTCTGAATGGTGATTCTACCATAACAATCAAATGGACGGGCTAACTTCAGTTGGTGCAATACTATTTTGAGTAACACTGCTGAATATCCTGCCATTTTGTATGTACCTCCTGTCTACTGACTTTGGTACGTAAATACTCGCACGAATACTTTTGATACTACTTTTATATATGTATATATGATGCTTGTGCAAAACTATGAATCTTCTTATGGATCTAAATCGTTTCTAAGATTTGGCACATTTGGCAGATGCCTTCTTGGTACAACTCGAAGAATAATATTTTTTTTCACAACTTTCCGAAAATGTCTTACGTCGGTGGAAGCTCAAACTTTGGCTCTTTGTCTTCTTAGGTCATTAGGAATGACCACGGTGAGAAAACTTCCAAGTGCCAAAGTAATGCAAAGAGCAATGTTTGCCCAAAAATCACCCCAAATATCAAAAAGATAACCATACAGCATGGTGAATGCAATACCAAAGGCTTGTGTTCCTGCATTCAGTATGCCAGCTGACGTTCCTTCCGGTTCAGGGTAGGTTAGCTCCGTTGCAAATTCAAAACCAACTGGTAGATAACCCGTCATGAAAAATCTAATTAAAAAAGTAATTGTTAGTGATGCTGTTTAGAATTTTTATAAAATATAAATTTCCTACTTACCCCAACATACCGGCTGTGATGTACACTACGTAAATCTTTCCACAATCTAATGTAAAGGTGAAGATAATCATACCAATGAGCGATAAGAGATAAACTCCTAATGTTGTTTCTCTGAAAATTTTAAATTAAGTTATAAGATCTCATAAAAGAAGATATTAAGAGTAACGTTAATTGGTAACATTAATAATGAAATCCAATGCAACAAACATATAGATATATTCAAATGTCGAATTCGAACTAATTTTAACACGATTCATTTATATTATAAAAACGAAATTATATTACACGAAAATTGTATAGATAAAAATATTAAAACTTATATACGACGGTTAAAAAAATACTCACTTGAATCTGTGCGTTTTATCAAGAATAACGCCACATGCGACGGATCCCATCATTCCAGCGCAAACTATAGTTAATCCAATTCTTCCAGCATCTTCCTCGTGATTCTAGATAATAATAAAAATGGCTAGTAAGCTACATACAATTTTTTTCATTTCAAATATAACGTAAGGACCATAGATACAAATGTAAAATTATTAACGATACAATTTCTATTACTTTACATTGAGCATTATTCGAGTAGTACGCAAAATGATTTGAGTACAAGGTCGAAAGTTAAAAAAAATATTTAAGGTAAAATGGAACTAAGTACCGGAAGATTTATCAAGCAAAATATAACAGCAACCCAGTTTCGTTTTTATGTATTAATAGTCTCCAAACATAAATATAATAATGTTAATAAATTGCGACTTACTAATCTTCTGCCGATCAATAATACTTACGGCAAAATGTGCGAGGACAATTCGATTGAGCAATGTGCTAATGGCGTAGAATATTCCCACATTGATGCCATAACTCAGTAAGAGCAGAATGTAACCACTATTAGTAACGAGCCTCTTGATAGAGTGGAAAAAGTTTTCAGAAGATTCAGTCTCCCTTTGAAAAGCTTGAGCAGGACTTGGCGGAAGTGGTGGTTGCTCCTTGAAAACTAAAAAACAAAAAAGTGAATAAAAGTTGCAGTAAAAAGAAAACTCACTACGACCATCATTTCCAATTCTTTTTTTTTTTAATCAGGTATCTAAAGAAGCAAGCGAATTAGAATTCTTGCTAAAATATACGTACAAAGAAGTATAAGAACCAAAATGATGGACGTCAAAGCAGCCACAATGTAGAACATCACCTGAAGACCTCCACCAATGATTGCGTTGTCCGTGCTGCTTTTGACTAACATTGGCGGAAATAGAAAGCCGATAGCAACACCTAACTGAAAATTTAGTAAAATATATTTAAAAACAAGAGCAATAAGAATGTGCATTACTTAATTCACATTAATAAACACTACGTTTTTTCGTATTTTGCATTATAGAATATAATTACAAATAGTACATTGACTGGCAGTAATAACAAGTATCCTGTTTGCACGCATGAAATGACTCCTTAGGTACAGTATAAGGGAGGTTCGGTTTTCCATGATACGAGTCAAGGTAAATTGACACACACATAATTCAAATATGAAATTCATTGTCAAGCGTAATAGCTCATTCGTTCCGCATAGTTAATTGGTTACAAACATACGTTTACGTATAGTCAAGGTACATAGAGTGAGCAAGTACTAGCTACATATTTGCCATCCCCTTATTACGGTATAGTACGTGTAACGTGACGTCACCGTACTATAGTGGCAATTCCTATGGGCATGATGATGGGAAATGAGCGCTTAGAGCAAGGTTGCACGTTAAACGGTAGGTCACTTTTCTACGGTGTACGTATAGAATAAATAATGATAATAATGACATTTGGTCATATTATACCAGTTGTACATAATATAGTCAGTTTGGTCGCCATGGCTCACATCCTACTTAAAGGTCAATTTTTATTCGACAGAGGCCAAGTAACCCATTCAAACGTGACACAGACATTGCATGTCTCTTTACACAATTTAAAGAATCTCAGTTGACTTATATTTAGGACGGAATTTATGTATTTGATTTTAATCCAAATATAAAACTTGTACTCGACTTGACTCGCGATAAATAAAAGTAAGTACCGAATATATTCAAAATTCGTGGGCATTATCTATTATGCTGTCCAAGCGTTATTTTCATTAATATTAACTACGTTCCAATTACCTTAGACCACTGTATGAATTGGATATTAAGCGCTACGCGTTACATAACATTATTCTACCAGACGTAAAAAAAAAAGAAGAAGGACGACGCATAACTCTAACCAAGTGCAAGGTCAGACGTACGTGGACTCACCATTCAACATGAAACAGTGGAATCGCATTAGGAATAATCATGTCCTGATAACTAATACTGAAATTGAATCTAATTACAATAATTTATTCAGTCATGAAATTCATTGCTGAAATTGCGTATATACATACTATATCCCTAGTTATGCAATTGTTGAATATAAAAATTCAATAAAATAATTAATCATCATAAAATAAAGGTCGTAGTCCACAGTCTGTCTATAAACTCGTATCATGCCAATGAAATAATCGCATCTAGCTTGCACCTTGGACAAATTGAATCATTTATGAAAGCCATGGATATATACAGATATATTAGAGAATCATTGCCTGTGGGTCCGAACCCCTCTTTATGTAGTGAAATTAATCGTGGGTCCCCGGTTCAACTTGGCTTCCCACCTAATTACGTTGCGGCTCATTCTACGATTTAGTATAGCCAATCAGTCCCCTACGAATCTAATACTACACGTGATAAGAATATTAAGTAACACTGTAGATTTACATCGTAAGTACTGACAATAATCATTAGAATCACTACTCAACATCAATCAAAAAATTAATTAAATTCAACATATTTATTCTTTTGCACGTATTTAAAATCACCTGGTAACTCAATTTAATATATTAATAACTACGGTATTGCCTACAGATACACATATCAGCAGACACATCTTGCAACAGTTACATCTCAGCTATATGAATTTCGTGATCTTATATAACGACTGTGATTGAAGTTACATAAATGTCACTGCAAGGATTGGGGAAAAGATACAATAGTCGTTATAAGAAGAACGATCCGAATTTCGTCGATTACGAAAATAATGATCACCATGAAATTATAAATTTAATTATTGCACCGAAGTGTCACTCATATATAGGGTTATGAGGTTATAAAGCTACATTACACTGATTACGTAAACTCCATGCGTACGGTCACAAAAAGATATCGTTATGCTATATTATAGGCATATTATAAAATTGGTAAACTTTACCAAAGCCCAGAGAGGAATAACTCGATACGTTGATAGAATCAATTGTGACAGTTTGAAACAGCACAACGAGGAAGTTATCGTGGGGTCTTGAGCTCATAACATCCGGTTATTAATTTATTGAGTCATTGATACCACGATGATGGAAATGTCACTTTAACTATTTGGAAACGTACTCCCTGCTATGATTGGAGATGAAGTTTTGATAATGGTTTGATTAAAATGAGTCATTTGCCATAAAAGATATATTTTCCTTTCGAATTTCTATTATACTTCAAAGCAATATTTTTTCTTTACCTGATTTCCAAAAACACCGATGCTGCAGGCACTGCTTACTTGATCCGGACCAAACCACACGGCTGCCAATCGTGCTGGCACTGACAAGACGCATGTTTGACTCAAAGCAACAATTGTATGACCCACAAACGTAACCCAAAAACGATCAGGTGATACACTGAAGACTTTTATCCATGAGCCTACTGCTGTACCCAAAGCCCCCAAAATGACAGCGTATCGCAAACCCTGCGAATTGCATATGATTCCTGTATTTCATTATTAATTTTATGACAGTTAAAAAACGCAAGCAATGATAACGTTTATCTAACAAACTTTCAAGATCGTTGATGCTAATCAGTAGTCATAATTGTTATCGACGTACTATCGGTATTGATGATATCAGAAATTCGAAATGTACACATGTTTTTCTTTGCTATAATAGAAATGCAAGAAAACGGACCGAAATGTATTGATAAGATGACACGTTGTGAAACTGTATAATTAAAAATTGATATTAATAAAATAAAAATACGTGTTTCAGCTTTTAGGTAAATTTCAGTAATAGTTTATTAACCCTGGCACTGCTAACTATGTTTGTGGATAGATGAAACGAAATTGGTAGAATTACATATATTATTTTCATTAATTCTTAACGATTCTTCAAACAACAATATGATTTTAATGGTAATGGATACTAATTGATAGGAAATTTGAGAAAAATTGCTCTGAATAATTACGAAGGATGAATATGATTTGAAAATATGATTAAGATTTAAACAATAATATCTACAAATAATCAGTAATACCAATCCACGTACGTATATAAGATATAGGATATGGACGTGAGACCATACATGAGCTGATTGAGAAAAATTGAAAGTTCATGATAAGGAGTATCTTTTAAAATAAAAATAATCATAATAATGTCTACTCACGAATTTGTCGAGAAAATAGCTCGCTGGAAATATGAATGGGATGTACATAATCATATAAATCATGCTGGTCATGTCAACAGTAAGGCTCGATATACCATAATATTTCATTACAATATTTGAAATAATACTGTATTGAATCCACTGTAAAGCATTGCTCGCACTGTATAATACAAATATTCCCAATACGAGCCATCGTCTTTTATAAATTTTTGTCTCCGACATCTGCAAACGTTAAATAACAATTTGAAAATAATTAACGAAAATTACTGTAAAATGTTTATGTATATTATAAAAAAAAGTTTTGACCCTCTATGAAAAATATTTTTTACAAAACTGAAGAATCATTAACACTAACACCGTAATATGATATCATTGGGGCTGCAATTCATAGAACGTCAAACATCTATGAGCGAGAATTATAAATGACAAACAAGTTAAGAAAATTAATTGTTAACATTGAAAAAAAAATGAAGTGTTGGATGTTTCTAAGAGTTATACATTGTATTGATTTGATAATGATGATATATTAATAGATAACCGAATATAAGTCTTTTATAATGATTTATGAGTGCCAAAAGGTACGATTTCAAAGATACATGTGTTTCGTCAATCATGATATGCACGATATATATATATACCTAATTTCACTTTAAATTATGGGAATCAAGATTATGATTACCTGTGTCGGTTGAACACCACCTTCTATGGCTTTCACGTAATCCGAGGGATTTTTTGACATATTTGTGGATTTTAACTCCTCAGACCACACGTAAGAAGCTGTTGCTCGGTCGTTACTGAATAGAAGAGGTGAAGCCGCCATTATAAATATTTCAGAAACAAAATATAAAAAATTATAACAAGCGGATGCTAGATCCGTGTAAAGTAAAAAAGAAAAGTGTCTAAACTAGTTTTTACAGTGTGTCTGAAACATACAAAGTGTTGTGTGTAGAGCATACAGATATTCTTAATACATCTTATACAAAAAAAAAAAAGTGTTACGAAGATAATTACGAAGAACAAGATAATTCTCATATACCGAACGATCACGCACGAATCCCTGTGTTGAATTTAGTTACCTAGAATCTAAATGAAGGTCAATAACTTGTAAAATATTTATTTCAATAATTTTGAATATTTCAAGAAGTTAATGATTTTTATATATTAACATGATTATCAATGTTAAAATAATTCACTTAACATACTTTTCAACCAAGTCGTTTGATATTCAAAGAAGCAATAATAATCTATTCGATTAATGCAAGGCTTAGGGCAATCGCAAGTAAATAAAAAATGCTTTTGCGCGAATGTCACAATGCAAATACACCGGCAAGAATATACTAATAGGATTATCAATAGTTTTAACTAGTAATAGTTAACGAATAAAATATTCATGGCTACGAATAAATCGATATAACATAGCGAAATAATTTCAGAAATACAGAAAAAAAAATTTCAATTTGCATCACGCACAATGAAACTTTCTATTCAAGGTCACTCGCGAGAATTTCACAAATAATCAAATTCACAATGTGAGTCACGATTTGCTTTTCAGTAAATGTCAAAGTTTCGGAGGAGCAGCGTCAAACGATTCCCTAGACAAACGTAACGATAACGAGGACAACGAGTCAACATAAAAAAAGTCCGAACAAATGTACAAGTACACTTATAACGTTCCAATTAGTCCCTAGTCTAGTACATATGCATTTTTCAGTATACAAGGTGAATTATATTCCGCCTTATTTAAATCCCACTTTAAACCTGAATAAAATAGAAAAAAAAAACCAATACCCTCAGTAAATTCCTTTGACATAATTAAAAGAATAATACTTTGCGATACAAGTGCGAGAAAGCGAACTTTATAGGCAGGCGGTGAAGTTGGTCGCACGAGCCGCACACGAGTGTGACAAACTTCACGAACTGCGTATAATGTTCGCTTTATTGTACCAGTATCGCATAATATTTTATGTAACGAATGCATGAAAAACGCTACTTTTTGTGCCTCCAAAGTGACTGGAACATCTCTTCGTTGGAGGAGGCAGCCATAAGAAGAGCAAGGAAGGCTTCCAATGTGAATGCATTTCATGACAGCGCGCAAGAACAAAGTTTACTTTATCGCACTAGTGTTTTCTTCCGTAAAATTGGGCCGATTTGCGCATGCGCAGCTTTTTTATCGTATCCATAGATATAAAGCGCCACTTTCGCCACACTTCGTAACCACGAAAAGTAGTGTTTTACATGCATGAGTTACATAAAATAATAAAAGAAATGTGAATTTCCAAAGGTCAACAATCGCAATAATAAAAAATACAGATATAAGAATTACTTACAAAGTAATAAAAAAAAAATTAGTCACCATAAATTCATTAACGTTAGTATATGAAAATAAAATTACTCTTCAACAAAAGTACTATAACGATCTAACAGTTGATAAAATAAGACTGTCAACTTATAACACACTGTATCATAACCAAAAAAAAACTTTTCAACTATTAGCGTTGACAAGACTTGAATGACTTTAACTCGTTCTTTACACATTCAACAACTTGTTTACTGGATAACCAAATCGCCTTCTTATTGCTCTGTTCAACATTTGTTACAACTTTGCTCATTCACGTATGTATCACTGATATTATTTTTCTTTTCAGTCGAGTATGAGTGTGGAAAAAATATAGTAACTATTTTTTACACTCTGGCAGACACCCTTTTGAAAATTACTAAAATCCACTTTGATGGTCGAACATGCACTGATACGGCAATAAAGGAATAGCTGATATTCAACGTAAAGAAGCACTTTTAAATGTTGGAAATACCAAGTCTTATCAAAACCTGAAAGAAGAGATCTAATCAAACCATTCGCAATCTGTACTACGATAATACAATTAAAGTACAAATCTTTAATGTATCTCTCCATGTAATGTTCTTTACTTTGGCAATGTTTAAATGTTAACTTATTGTGCGTCACTAAGAGATAGTGATCGCACATTCTATTTTGTGACCTGATAGCGTTAGGTCGTTACGTAGATGATCAATGATAATTACATATCAGTAAGCAGAATAGTTTTCAGGAAAATTTTCTTCGGAATGACTAAATAATAAAAACTATAAATCTTTGACGCTTACGTGTTACCGATTCGATCGTGAGAATTCATCTTCACGATCAAACAGTTTAAAAATATATAAATTCTCTACGTCTTTCTCATATTAGAATTCATTCGATAGGAATATTCGAAAAAGAAATCAATTCCGTCAAATTACGTTAACTATAGCTACATACTGCGACAAGTACATAAAGGCAAAAGGAACGTTATTCGTTCGTATGAGAAAACGAACAAAATCTTAAAATGTTACTTTTCTTCGCGATTATACACCTCTGAATTATACCGGCACATCTGATGACGAAACATTTTTTCTGAACGATGTTCACGTTTACATATAAGTCCTTAGATACACGGAAAATGCGTCATTGCCAACACTATTATCTTCGCGATTCATAAAAAGAGTGAGAATTATAAAAGGTAAAACGTGTCCTGCACAATTTTACATATTTAAACAATGTCTATCGGTGTATTAATTATCGTTAAGTAGCTAAGAAGATGAATAAATAATTAGTGTCTGTCGGTGTCAGTTTGTCAATGCATAAAACGTATATATATATATATATATATATATATATATACACAGATATAAGATTCAAAATTTCACGAATACGCATTAGTTTAGCATGTGTACTGTATACAAATAGTATTTATCAACAACACATGAAACTTACCGTTTGTTGTTATTGTAGTTATCTGAAACTGTCAGACTATGTGACACCGATTATATATGAATCAACAGTCGCGATATTAACGTGATAATATAATATGCTTATAAAGATTCTCTCCGATGTAATGTAGAATGAGATTAGAGAATTGCAAACTTTACTATATGCAGACAAGTTGTCACGATCACATGAATGAATTCGATGAATAAAAACTTTTACCGCGTCAGCACGAAAGTGCTCGTTAATTTGAACGTTTAATTAAAACAAGCATTACGAGTATCACAATGTTGATAATGTAACCACAATTCCTTACGATTCACTTCACTTCCCCTCAATTTACATTAACATTTGTGAGAGTCGTCACGTGGCCGTGGAGACACACGCACGTTTGATGATATATTTAGATTCAGTCGAGCAGTCCACCAATTTAGACGAGGAACACAAAAGTTTCTACTTTCCTCCTACCAGCAGACTTTGTTTGTCGAATAACGAATTGGCTTAAACACGCAAGCTTGATCGAAAGGTCACTTAAAAATTTCTACTCGTCGAATTACGTAACGCTTTATATGGGCCGTATATTAGTCAGACACGGGCTAGATTTAAATCACAAATTTAATCAGCGAGTCAACCCGTTAGTTGTAATACCGACTGAAACATGCATATTGAAGAATTGATAAAAGTCTCGGGCTCAGAATTGCTCGTACCAACAACAATACATTATATACATAATACTCCAGTGACGTATTATTGCTTCTCTTTATTATTTCAGTCTCTGTCAAATCTCGTAAGACTTTCAGATTTAAATAAAAATAATTTAAAGAAAAGGGACTTCTTTCTCCACACGCATTCACCCTTCTTCAAAGTACCACGTGTCTCAGCCACATGCGCTCTCGTGATCTCTCGTTAAATCGGGCCGGGACGATGGCGTTATTTTGACCAAGTATCGATTCGCGAAATTTTGTCGAGACTACGCGAAATACAAAGGTGAATACGTGTATCCTCCACGCCAGCCAATAAAAGGCGGCTTAACCAGAAACGTATCTCGATAATGTATACGGGGACTCCTGACTCTATTGACTACTCATGATTCCTCGTGGCTGCTATCTGCGTAGAACCGACTTCTCAGAATGCTGGACATCGACTAAATCTGCGATTCACCGCCGAAGGCAAATATCAACTTGCTGGCCGAACTCGACGCAGTGCTTCTGCGCGACCGATTCCAACAAGGAGAAACTCAGGAGACTGTGTGTGCATTGATACGTTCGTGTATACGTATATAGACATATAGATATAGAACATTGTCTACCTATACGTATAATCTTGTATACATACACTATAATTCCACGCAGTTCTTTTAACTATGTAAATTGATATTCATATTATACACAATCTGATTCATACTATTTCATTTACCGTTTGACGATTCTTCTTTTTTTTTTCTGTTAACTTGTTCGTGCTATGTGGACGTATATATATGTGCACTGATGAATTATATATGTATATATATTCTATCAGTATTCTTATATACCGATTCAATAAATAGGTATCTTGACATTAATGATTTAATTAGTAGAACTATACTGATTCTCAGTCATATACTTACAACTGCGACGTACAGTAGTTATTAAATTTTAATTAGTAAATGGTAAATGATTCTTCTTTCGAGAGTAGGAAAAAATATTAAAATAAAATGTTGATATCAATTCCAAGCATTATCAGTCGCAGACAAAAAAGACCGTAAACGTAATACTTAATGTGCATGTGTATGTTTAGTCTATAATTATCGTTGAAAATAGGATGTATAATTGTAAAGGTTTCTTTTCATGACAAAACACATGTAGTTATATGCCGCTTCATTATTGTTTCTGGAATTTATATAATTTTGTGGCATCGGTGGAAAATTTGTTCGCTGCGTTATCGTCGACCAGGATTGAATTCACATAAAAGTATTGCTCACTTCGAAATCACGTGTAATGCAAGTATACGTGTTATACGATCTCATACGTAGTACATACAGTATCCTAAGCATAATAGTATAAGAGTGATAACGTAATAACCTTGCCGAAATCATCAGTAATGGTATTGTAAATGTATTTTTATTTTGGTTTTACAGATTGTAGTAAAACCGTGTTGTATAGGATATCTAATCTTTAAGATTTCCTGTGAATACTCCAAAGCGGAAAGTTGCGTGTGATAAATGTGTATTTAAAAAAAAAATGCGGGAGTTTATGAATATCAGACAGTTAAAAAATTAATAGGCGAAAGAAGAAACTGTCACAATCACAATTTTGAAGTTTGTGGAATAAACTTAAAAGAATCCAGACTCGATATCTTTGACATAGTGTAATATTCTATTGTTATTATTAGCAGTTCGAGTTATCAAAAATAACGACAGCATTCGTAAAAAGTATGTACAGGTGAATGAATCATTATAAATTCGAAATTTGTTCATATATGAAATAATTAATTCGAAAAGAATATGAAAATTTCCCTAAATTATGAAATTGGACCACGGCAAATATGGAGTTTTTACTCTGCACACTGCGAAAACTCGTATAGCATCTCGAAAATGAACTTTATACAAATCTTTGTTCACAGAATTGAATCGCCTGTAATTTTATATTACTGCGAGTAAATATCATTCCGAGCAGAATGATGCATCACTGCACTGGATATGCATTTACAAGCGTCAATCTTTAGAATACATATCTTTATAACACGTTCACATGCATTTGTTAGCTTCTTCAAGAGATGCAGATAACAGCAAATAGTTCACTTTATCACATACGTCAAACATGTGTCGAGTCCTTGTTTATGGCAAAATATGGTACAATAATACACGTATGATGGACGTGATGCAATGGAATGTCATCCAGATGATAATATACATACATATATATATCAATATTGGCACAATATAAACACAGTATATTCTCCACACTCCAAAATGCCAAATTCGCTTATCGCGGTAACTTTATCTCGATTGTTCATCTCAATGATCAGGATCATGCGTTAACAAATTGTTAGCCTCTTCGTCACTCTGTACAATAAAATAGAGTTGTCCGTTAAACAGATTCATTAAAAAATTTGTAAATGCAGAAGTACTATTTTAAATTAAAAACACTCACAGTCAGTAATATTGTAATCAAGAGTTGTAATTAACGATAACCCGTCATACATAAACGACGCTCTGGTTATCGGAATCATTGTCAGAACAATATTCAGATGCTTCGCTATTTTCTCACCAGAGGACACGACATTACAGTTTATGCTCAATCGATATATGCTCGAGCGAGTAATAAGAATTATCAACGTCACATCGAAAAAGTTGTGTGGCGCGCTGTGCTACTATTCCACGCGCCTGGAAGACTATTACCACAATACACAGAAATAAAACTTTTTTCTAACCACTTTCTTTTTCGCTTGATCAAATGTCCCATTACCGTATACAATTTTTTAAAATTATAATTTTACATAAAATATATAAAACTAAAATAACTAGTTCCCATTAACCAGCTATACAATTACTACCCGATAAATTTCAAATGAAAGCCAACTCTTATGTTTCGTATACGGTAATTATTTAATTGGATGGATATTCAAATATAAATTTAATAAATTTAAATAAATGAAAATTCTACGGCCAAGACACATTTACCAACACCAATAATTTTATGTAACCCAACCTCGATGCTCGTTCTTCTTGTGGATTCTTACGTGCGCGTTATGTTTAGCCAGCTGCAACATCGCTACTTGAATTTACACAAACCATCTCAATACGAAATTCGTTATATATTCAACATACCTCTTTTTACGTGCGATATGGTGTCAATCGTTTATCAAAAATGCTGCCAGTTGTCTATCATCTGCTGTTCCAGTTAGAACGAACAATTAAAAAATTTTCAGTGTAACAATAAAAGTAATAGGACAATGTACTGTGTATTGTGAAAATGAATACAAATCAGACGGGTAAGACTAGTCACATGTTATCACGTCTACCTTTGCTCGGCATGATACTTCTACTATACATTACGCATAAACGTATGTGTTTCAAAGTCATTTTCTGGAACGGACCGTATATCCAATTACGTAACCCTACAAATTCTTATCTGACACAAGGAGTATCGTCCTACTAAATTCTTCATGTGCGGCCAGTACCATCTTTTATTGTTGCAATTTTTCGAGATTTTTACTGAAGTAACGTGATTCACAATTTTTTTTATTTATCTCGACCATCCGTTCTCATGTTTCATCCCTAATGAGAATAAAATGGGATTCCCCGTCTACACTAATTTCACGTAGAATCTTAAAACATTTAAAAACCACTATACCGCGGAATCTAGTACTTTCCCACGATTTCGTGTAAACGCTTTACTTATCTTAAGATAAACTAGACTAGCAAACCTCTTTACTCGTTGCTCTTCTATCAGTGAACAAAGTTATTATATAACAATGTGATTTCTTTAAAATTAACATTAAACTCGTTTCACACGTGATCTGCAATTTTGCTCAGGTATCACGTCGGCGGAGTGTCAGATACTTTTAGAAGTTCTACGACGAGATGCAAAGATTTTGGATTATATACAAGGACGACTGTCGTAAGTAATTATCAATTATTATATTAATATATGTATATACATATATCAATCTAGTCAAGAGAGATTGTCAAGAAATAACCTTATCTATGATGATAAGCTATGTCACTATACGTCATACAATAGTCACTATTTTCCAATAGATTAATCGATACAAACTATTAATAACGTGCTTTATCATTCAATGAAATTATGGATTATTGATAATATTAATCAATAAATTAACATTTATCGAGTCGTCAAAGAATTCAAAAGAATTTTTAAATTCCGTAGCTTA